AAAGATTGTTTACTACAACAAAGTAGTGTTGAGGGATAGTGTGTTTTGCTGACTAAACTAAAAAGAGTCTATCAAGCAATCTGTTACTAAAGTGCTGCTTTCTTTTTCATGCCTCTTACCACGTCACCTAGGACATTGTGTTTACATCTTATGCTTTTGCTCGGTATCATTTTAATTCAGTTCACTTTCTGGCAATGCTCTGTCAGCAACTCTGCATGAACAGCGTCCTCCCCACAAATTAGGAAACATTTCCCTTAAACCTCAATTACAACAATAGCCAGCCTAATCAGCCAGCCTTTTGAGGGATGAATTGCTTTTAGAGGTGACCTGTGAAAACACAGATAGGTCTTATGGGTGAAATGTAAAGTCTGGATGTTTAAAAAATCTGCTTTGTAAAACCAGCTTTGCCTTCGTGAACAGAAGAAGCACATAAAGGGGAGAGGGAAATACACCCACCTGCTCTCTCTCTTTGAACCCCCCAAATCACCAAGAGAAACAAAACTTTAAAAAAACCCAAAACAAACCTAAACATTTCTAAAAGTATAGCCCTTTCCCGCCCCTCATTCTCTTTTCAATGGTGTCACACTGTATATTATCATTGTCATCAAAGGGGGTGTGTATAAGAACCTGAAAAACCACACAGACCTGTCTGGAGAGTGTTCCATATATCGCAGCACCAGAGGTGGCCTTCCTTTCAGCAGAAACCTCACAGAGCTGGAAAGCATCTTGGCTTTGAAGACTTACTTTTGGATCTAACACTCCCTTGGAAAGAGAAGAAGCCTATCCAGCTACACGTAAGCTCAGTTTGTTTATTGAGTCTGAATATTCTGACAAAGATTCCGTTTGCCAGAGTGGCAGGTGGCTGGCAGTGCAAAGGAACTTGTTGCTGGGTTTTGTTTTGTTTTAATTCTAAAACTCCTATCCATTTGAGCCTGGCAAAATTAATTGGGATAACCTCTTAACTCTGAACTCCTGTCAGAGAGACGTAGCATGGGAATGCCAGCATGACCCTCAGTCTAAAGGATACTGGATCAAAACTGGTTCAAAAATCAGATTGCAGTTCTTTGCACACTTCCTATTGAACACTGTGGGGCTTTCAGAAAACCATGCATGAGATCATGCTGTATGTATGCCTTGGAATGTTTGCTATTGGTCCCTAAATTATTTACACATGAATGGAAGCAGTGTCCAGTCATGTAGAAAACAGCAAGATCTCTCACAAATGTTGCTAGGGCCCAAAGTATTAAAAAAATCAATCTGGACACTGAGCCCTAAAACAGATGTACGCAAATATGTACTTTTTATCTTCGATGTACGTTAGAAATTGAAAGCCCACGGACAACCTTCTTCAGTAAGCAGATGGGCTCTTTTTGTACTGCTGAGACCTCTGGTGGTAGATGCTAGAATGAAAACTAACCTTAATACATGTTAGGAAGTATACAAAGTTGCATCAAAAAACATTCGTGCTTGGATTTTCTAAAATAGAGAGACTTTCTAAAATAGAAAGACTTGATATTTTAACAGTAATATAACCCTGAGTATGCAGAGAAGCAGAGACTTAACAATTAGCCATTTATCAAATTGTTTGTAGAAGCTGATTCCATGGAAAGGGTCAAACAGAATTTTATTAGCCGGTCTAGTGGGATAAATTACTTCAATTTCAATTGAATGCATGCATCTCAAAATTTTACCACACTGAAGAGATGTAGAAGCCATGAATAACTGTCGTGTTAAATTTCATAAATTGTAACAGTGGCTAAAGTGGCTGGATCATACTTTTCTATCATGCTTTTAAAATTACCTTTTAATCATCCCATTCATGAATTTGTATAATTCATATAACTTCTGTTACATAAATTGAATGTGTGTGTTTACTCATCTTTAAGTGATTTATTTTACTCTGTCTGGGACTAGCTGCTCAATTTAGACTCAGGTTTTTAAGCTTTTGTTAGATTGTGTTTTCTGCCTACCTTGTAAAATTCCTGTTTTCTTATATAGATTAAAGTTATTTCAGATGCAAAATTATGAAATCATTTGAGTTTTAAAAATACCACTTAAGAATAATGCTTAAATACTGCATATTAATGGCAAATCAAAACTGATATAAACAACTACACTTACAAACTAAACTAAGGATGTGCATGGTGAAAATTTTCATATTTGTTTTGTTTTTGGGTTCTTTTGGGGTGTGTCTTTCATTTTCTTGTTTTTTATGCACCAGTCCTGTTTTACATGAAAGGGACAACCTTCTTTCAAGCTGTTTTGTTTTGTTTTTGCCTACTTGTGTTTTCTAGCAGTAGTCTTAAAAAAGGCTAAAAGAACCTGTATAAACTATTCCAAAAAAAGCAGAGGTGAGGGGACAAAAATATTAATCTACTGTAAAACCAAGCAACAGAGCAAGCAACAGAACCACAACCAAACAAAACAGGTCTTCCCCCACACACACCACCACAAAAATACAGCTTTAACAGAATACACAGTAAATTAATAAAATAACAGTTGTTAAAGATCAATTAAATAGGAAAAGCACCTAGAACAGAAAAATAACAAAATAAAACATACATATTTGTCCCTTCTCCCAGAAATTGAAGGAAGGAAGGAAGGAAGGAGAAATAGGAAAAGCATCTAGAACAGAAAAATAACAAAATAAAACACACATATTTGTCCCTTCTCCCAGAAATCGAAGGGAGGGAGGGAGGGAGGGGGGGAAGGAAAAGGAAAAAGAAAAGGAAGAAAAGGAAAAGGAAAAGATACTACCAAAGACTCCTCCAAACCAATACTAAAATATCGGGTGATTTCTCTCCCACACCACTTCATACCCTTTCTGTTTTCTTAGAGTTGAGTAGGCAGGCAGCAAAATTAATCCAAGAAATGAAAAAAAGGGGGGGATGTGGTCCCAAGAAATTGGGGGGGGGGGGGGTTTAAAAAAAACCAAAGGAGATACACTGGCATAGGCAAGCTGCATGTTGGTAGCAGCAAA